CTGGTGTACTTCGTTCAGTTACGTATTGCTCTTATTTAAAAACATTTGGATATTACGATGATAATCGCATTATTACCTTAAATCTCTCGGACAAATCGGCCCGTATATATTAGAACATTTAATAAATCGGATTATTGAAACATCACCTCGGTTATTTGACAATTTGGAAAAGACAGTTGACGCCGCCACGCCAGATTATCCGGCGATAACTCTTTAATTTTATACTTTGCGGTCGTTACGTTTCTTTTACTTCTCGGTATCGTGTTGAGAACTACTCTTTCTGTATGTACTGGTCGTACCGTTTGTAGTTTAGCTTCAGCGTGCGTATGTAAAGATTATTAGTGTTTCCTTTTTTCTAAAAATCAAAAAATGTCTAAACGCTAAGATTTTAGTCAATTTGCATGCGAACAATCGTGGTTTGAAACTCATTAGACCGATTTGCTAGCCCCCAATACAAACCCTCTGATATTTTCAATGCGGACGAAACTGGGATTTATTTTGGAGCTCTACCTGAACACACATACGCACTCAAAATAAGTGACAAAGCCAAAGGGGTAATATTACTCGTATGAAAATATGGTCATGGAGTTACTCGACGCAAATACATATTTTTTTCGCGTACCTATTATTCATTTTTTTTTTTTTAATCGCTTATTAGAAACAATCGGTTAATTGACACAATTCATCTTGATCCCAAAGTGTTTCTAATAACCGGCTTTTACTATATTCACATTTTATCATTGAAATAAGCAAGTTTGAGTGTAACAGTTAATAAATGATTGCCAGATTATTTTTTCCAAATAACGGGAATCCCTAATAATATTATTTCGTCCTTGATGAAAGCATTTGTATAATATTATTATCCATAGATTTTGACATATATTTTTTTAAATAATATAACTAATGTATAGATTATAATATTTATAATTTTTGACAGGTTATGTAACTGAGTATTTCAATGAAATTATAAATTTTAAACCTGAAAGTAAGTATTATTTTTAAAATGTTTCAGTTTTATAAGTGTGTTTTAAATTAATTATAAAGTTTGTTTAAACGTGTTGAACTTATACTTGTGATTGTATTTTTATATTTATTATATATCAAATGAAAAAAGAAACAGAACCAAATAATAAAGAGATTTATTCATTTATTACAGTTACCCCAATGAGTCCAAAAGATTTTTGTCAAGAACAATGTGAGTAATACAATAAACATGTACATAAAATAAATTCAAATTTTTCTAGTATAAATTTTCCATCCTACAAATTTATACCAAAATGAGATATGAATATTTTAAACATTAACAATATGCGCAGTGATGGAATGTTCTACGGTTTATACTTTTAAAATAACAAATAAAAAACAAATCTTTTATTGTTAAATTATGATAGCTGTTTTTATTTAAATATCAAATGTTGTCAAAATAAATTAACTTAAACTTTATAGCGAAAAATGATGAGTTCAATGTTTTCGACAAATATAGAATTTGTGAGAAATTTAAAAGTACAATATAATTATAATATCACGTTTATATTGGATATTATAACTTTTAGCCTTTGTAGGTATTTTTCATAATATGCAAATTCAAAAGACAAAACTAACAAGGATATCTATACAACATCAAATAGCATAACTAAATTAATGTTAATTGTTCAAGTTTATTATCATTGACGTGTGCATAGAGTGTGACATAAACATTTTAACATGCTTTTTTTATGCTCTTTCATTGAAATGCATTAAAAAAAAAAGTATTATGTCCTCAGCTAGTATAACAATAATTATTTGTCTTTTATCAGTTCCAGTCATTAAGTACAATTAATTTAGAATATCTTATATTAGGTACTTAAATTATTAGATTTTAAAGTGGTTTTTCAAGTAACTAACTATTGTTCAAAAAAAAAAAAAAACATTTTGAAAATATAAATTGTAGGTATGTACCGCCTGATTGAAGTTGTAATTTGTTATGTAAAGAATGTGTCGACTTTGTCAAGGACATGTCTTTAAAAGTATGAGAAATAAAAATAAAAATGTAAAAACATAACTGGTCGTTTTCTTAGCATTGGATTATTTATTTTTTCATTTTAAACACTTTAAATTATAATACATAAACTATCCGGCACTACGTTTGATTTATCATTAAGTGAATTAATAATAAAACTAATTTATATTTTGAAATAATATATCAAGTATTTAGCTAAAGATTTAAATTGATTCATTGCTTTACTTTGTTTAATTTATGTTCTAAAATCAACTATAACATAAGAACTATTTTAAAATAATACTAACATTCATTTAATATAATTTTTTAAGTTGCTAAATTGAACGCATACAGTATGTATTATTATATTGCATTTATTTTTAATCGGAATAGATGTTTAAAATTATCTATTAAATTAAACATGTTGTATATGAGTATAACTTGTCTTTACATCGCGAATTATATCATTAAACAAAATTTATAATATACAAAAAATTTTAATCACTTTATTGTATTTATATTTTATAGCAAGATGCGCTTATTATAGAAGTAAGGCCATAGATTTGTTTATAATTACAGTAATATTTGTACTCACATAAAGACATACTTTACTTAATATCTAATTTATTATTCTATCATAATTTTAAATTCATTAAAACCCTTAAAATTAAACAATCCTTATATAATAGTATTTGTGTATAAATTTTAAAATAAAGCTTTCTTTTAAGGTATTAAACAGTTATAAATTGTTATTTAAATAATACGTTCTTGTTATAATCCATTCGGTCTTTTTATTGTTAATTCTATCACTGGAAAAATATGTTTTTCTTGATTCTCTGTAGTCTGTACCTTAATAGATTTATAATTAAATTAAAGACTGATAAATGTTTTTATATTTGAAGCAATTGATGAATATTTCATAAATGTTGATTTTCAACAATTTTTCTATTTTTAATATAACTAGGTATGTATTCAATAAACAGTGGTCACAAATATGTCTTTTTTTGAATCTTATAAAATATAAACGTAAGAAAAATTTCAATCACAAAACCACTTCTCATCAATTTATTTAATAACTTTGTTTATATATATATATAATTATGATTTACTTTTATACTTTCACAGTTGGCATGAGTAAGTTCGTAATAGTATTGACTATTTTATTTTGTTTAAAATTTAAAAAAAAAATATGTAATATTAAGCTTTTTGGTCAACTTTAAAAAATAAAATGATACATTTTTTAAGCATAAAATTTAACCCTGACGTTAGAGTAATCACAATAAGATTTAAAATTAATTTCATCTTTTACCTACTTTTAAAAGTTTACTTTATTTGATTTTTAAGTAATAATACTCAGTTAAATCATTAAAAAATCTACTAATATGACTCATAATAACAGCCTCTGACAAACTATTAACTAATGATGGTAAATAATTTATCCTGATAACACTGGGCATGTAGGATCGTATTTAATAATATTACTTAAAATCAAACACTATTTTCATCCGGCTAATCAGACGTTTGCTATACATTTATACAAGTAATATCCAAAGGACATTAAATCATACACCAATTAAAATATCTTCTGTTTCCCTTTCTATCTACCCTACTATTAATTCAAAACTAAAAGAATATTTCGAATATTTTGGCAAAAAATTTTGATAGGCGATTTCAATGCCAAACACTCTATGTGGAGCATATCATATGACAATCCAAGAGAAAAAAATACTTCGAAAAATTCGTAACCAATTACAATTATACACATATATTCTTAAATGGCCCCATTTACTGGCCACAACACTAAAATAAAAACCTAGGCATTTAAGATTTCTGTATTTCAACATTACCTATAAATATAAAATTAACTGTTACCAACTTAAATGATCTTATCTCCTCTGACGACACGCCTGTCTCCCTTAAATAAAACAAAGCTCCAAAACTATATCCTATGCATCATTCTTTATTACAAAGGTTTAATAAAATTGAACGAAATCTCTAAAACTATGCAAAATACAATTATTGTAAGTCACAAAATTGTGCGAATAAATTTATCAGAACAGTTATGCAACCGTACTAACATAACCCGGTACGGTTATTTGGAATTTTCATACTGACAAATTATAGCTGGAGTTCCCCGAGGTAGACACATTTCTCCCAATTCATTTAACATTTATACAGCTGACATTCCTAAAACTTTAAATACTATTATAGCCACTATTATTAAGACGACACCGCAATTATTTCACTTAAACTCATTCACCGTATTCTAAAATCCAAATAACAGTGTATTAATAAATCTGTTAATAATTATACCAATATGTATAAATATATATGATTTACTTTTATAATTTCACAGCTATTGATAGTAAGTTCGTGATATGATTGACTATTTTTTATTTATTATTATTATTCAAAATAAGGCTTCATCAGAAATGGTTTTTAACCCGTTTTATTTTTACATTGAGTTAACATATATAGTTTAAACTCATTTACAATATTTTAATAACATTTGTAAAGTTTAAGAATGTAATAGCTTTAAAAGTTTTTTTTCGTCGATTTTCTATGTTAGATGGAATATTAAGGTGTATTGTGTGCATTCCTGCAATTTGTGCTCGATTTTAAGTATTTGGTAGCATGCTTCGCATATTGGTTGAGGATCTTAGCTAATTAAAAATGAGTGTTAATTATTAAAATAGAAAAAATAAAAATAAAATTATTATAAAATATTGATTGTATAATAATAATAATAATAATAATAATAATAATAATAATCTAAATAAACAAATAATCAATAATATCATTCAAACTACATGTAAAATTGTGTACAATATAAATATCAAAAAAATGTCAAAAAGTAGTATAATATATAAATAGTATTTATATGTTATGATTTTTAAAATATTAGCTAATAAAAAATATTATAATAATAATATTATAATCTATACTAAATATAAATGTCAAATGACAATATAAATATTATGTAAAAAGGTAGTATAATATAAAATTAATATTTAGCTGTAATAGTTATTACTATTACAAATTTTTAGAATATTAGCTAATAAAAATAAAAATGGTATAATATGGAAATATTTTATAACAATTTTATTTTTATTTTTTCTATTTTAATAATTAACACTATACATGTATTAGTTACTACTTATGTATAAAACTTATATTTGTAATATACACTGTATGTATATAATAGTAACAAGTGTCCACGTTCTGCATTTTAAACAATGGACAGTACAAAGTGACCGTTTATCTTTAAATGAGATGTACATTGAAGGTTGTCTTCAAAATTTATTCCTTGTATTTTGTCAAAATAATGGTGCGTTATTTAGGTGTAGGTGTTGGTTTGTTTTAGATTTGTAGTTGAATACAATGCATTGACTTTTGGCCAAAGAAAATTTGAATCCGGTTTCTTTGCACCAGTTTTGGAGGATTTGTAATAATGATTGTAGAATGCTTAACGTGGTTTCTATGTTATTCCATTGCAAAAGACGTCGGCGAATATGATATGTTTTGTCGGATAGGGTATATTGTCGAAGATGTTGTTTATTGCAATTATGAACATTATGACGCTTATAAAAAAATACTAAACAAAATTAACACTTGTAATATAAAGCTATTTGGTCACCCTTAAAGAATAAAACGAAACGATTTACTCGATTTTACTAATAAATAATAACACTCATTCAAATCATCACAATAGTTCCATATTAAAAATTGTATTATAAAACTATGTAATAGCTTTAAAAAAAAAAAAATAATAATTTAATTTTATAGTTCTACTGTAAATATAATTGAATTGAATACGTTTGATTTATAATTTATTTGTAATCGTAGAATGTGAAGGTAAGTTAACTGACTTAAAATAAATACATTTTTAACCTAATCACTAATATCGTTTCTATGATAGTTAATCATAAAACATAATAGACCTAGAATCACAAAATATCTAATCAATCAATCATATATAATAGTTGACTATTCCAAGTATTATTTAAGTACAATAAAATAATACTTTTATATAACCTGTCATAAAAGGCTTACTTTGTAATGATCATATTAATATAAATTATAATTAACTAATAAAAAATTTAAAGATAACTCATTTAAACTGTATACAATTTTAAATCCAAATATAATAAATTACTTCATATTTACATTATATTCAAATATAGTGAGATTAAAATAGTTACTGATGCATTATCATGTTTAAAATTAATTATAATATATTAAGAACTGAATAATAAATGTTTAATAATTATTGTTAAGAGTATCATTCATGAAAATAGCATAACTACGTTTTTGTATTTACATTATTTTTTTTAAATTATACATTTATAAACAGCGAATCTTAAATACAGATTTAATTGTGAGTATATAATTATTTAACGAAAATACATATACCTAAACATAAAAATCATTATGTGACATTAAGATTCGTGACAGGTCAAAATTTAACTAATTTTATTGTTAGATATTTATATAGGTTACGATACGCTAGCTCTCAAAGTTAAAAATAAAATAATATGTAAATCTGTTAAAGATCACTATAACATTCAAAAAAAAAAAAAAATTAAAATACTACGTATAGAATGTAAAAAGTAAAAAACTTTTTTTTGTAGGTAGTAATAACACATTTATTATTTTTTTATTAGTGGATAATGGATATGCTAATGTCGAATTTTCATATAAAATATGTAAGAAAACTAATACAGTATATTTTTTTGAACTAATTTTATTATGCTAATGATCTTTTACCAAGATATTATCAATAGAACTAAGATTATGAAAAATATAAATAGATGAAATGCATTTTATTGTTTGTAATTTAAAATAATAAATAAAAGATACAGACTATGAATTAATAATATTATTTTAATTAAATCTGATATATCAAACGCGAACTTGTTGCACATCATTCATATTACGCTTAGGTAAAATCATTTTGTACTTTTTGTAGTCGTCATCATCGTATTATGTATATTTGTACATATACATTAATCATTGATTACACAGTATTATCTCTAAGCTGACTAGACACATTTCTCGATAACCATGAATGAACTATCCGCTTAGAAAGTTCACTCTTCACGTATTCCAAACTCGAGCAATGACGTCGTTATGACGCAATCGCTTAGTCAGGTGACTATGTTATTTTTCGAAAGAAAAATCATTGCATTATAAACGATGTAAAAAATAAGGTTAATAGGTCATTGTCGACTATTTAGTATAAAAGTTCTCCATTTACATTGGTTACAATAATTTTAGCATCACATAAAAAAATGGAAATTAAAACAATGTAAGCAGAATCTGTCTTATTTCACATCTCACGATAGGCTACACCTACTCTTATCGCCTCTCTTTACTGTTATCTTTGTTACTAATACCACAGTGCAATTTAAAATCTAAAACATGTTTAATGTTTATGCTGCCTTTAAAATATCCAATTTACATAAAAAATTTGATTCAATATTTAATGACCCCCCAGTACTTTCAATTGCTCATTTAAAATTAATATTATCTCCTAACTGACCTACCTCAAATTTAATTAGTTTGAAATGGCTGTCTATACATTTCCTTCAATCCATAGATGGAGTTTATCTAATATATGTGCTATCCAGTTCAATGATTTTCTCATATGCAATTACATAGACATATATATTTCTATTCTAGTTTCGGAAAATGAGTGATGTGGAATCTTATCTGTTTAATAGTAGAATACGTCGAGTTACGTGTATAATACGACGTAGAAGAGATCGATATTAACATTTTTTATACTTAATATTTAAAAAAAAAAATATTTATAAATTCATCATTTTTTTAAACTAATAAATTAAGTTCATTGTTTTATTGTTATTAAAATAGTACCTACCCAGCCCATCATTATTTATATACTATAAATTTGTTATCATGTTAATAACACAGATTAATTTTGTTGCTTATATTGAAAGTATGATAACTATTTAAATATAAGCAAAATACAAATATATAAGTGAGCCATTAATAGTACATACTTTCTTCAGATAAGCAAAATAAATCATGATGGGTAAAATCCAGTAAACGAGTGGGTTTGAGAACAATGCCTTCGTATGCGCGTCTATACCTTTTGTGTAGGTGGTATAATACTATTTGACAATTTACTGTATGGCCCGGTTTGCCTTCATGTCATGAATTTATTTTATTCTCTGAAAATGTGTGTAGTAATGCTACCTCAGTTTGCTTTACTATTTAAACAGACCGGTGCTACTGTCTCTTGTCATTTTAATCAAATCAGCATGATTTATAGAGCCTATATTATAAACTCATGATGTAAATGTTCGTGACTCATCTTATTTCAATTCAATGGTGAAAAATGTTAATTGCTATTTTTAAATATTAGTATATCATTGTATCATTCTCTTCCATGTATTATACACGTAACTAAACCTTCTGTCAATTCCTGAACTCATCAATGCAGACACAATGAAACAAATAAACCGGCATGTTTTAGGTACAAATTACGCCAACCAATGGCTAAAAACGAAGAAGGCGACCGCTTCTCGTGAATATCAACCAATTACAACATTATTTTATTCCGTACCTGTGTGTAAATATTATTATGTCGTTTATATCACAATAATTTCTTTCAACGCAATCACCAGCCATGTCATTAATATTCATGTATCATCAGTGTATAAACTCCTACCTGTGACGCGACCTAAGCAATAATATGATATGCAATAACCAATATAGTCTACTATCTTTATTCATAAACACAGTATCATAACTCCTTCATCTTACTCGATAAAATCGTATAAAATGGTGCATCTCTTCTAACACATAATAATAAACATTAAAAATAATATCTCCATTACCCCACACATTCATGATATTTCACGAATATTACAATGATATAACTAATTTATATATTGCAACTTTATGTACCTTTATGTAATAAAATAACACATTGTCACTGTGTTTTACATATTTGAGCTATATATTTCGTCAAACAATACTATACTTTCACAATTAAACATTTAGAGCTAAGCTGTTACTAAATGTATGGTAAAAAGCTAATATTACATAATTATATGTTGTGTTTGATGTCGGTCTTAATTTTAAACATGAAACAACCTATCTCTGCTATGTAATGACATTTAATTTAAAATGGCGAACTTTGATAGAATATTTTTATTGATTATTATTTATATTATGATCGCGTACAACTGAAAGCGTATTACATTGTATGAATAATCTAGTATTACGCCATGATGATGATATTTTATGGAGTATTATCATAGTATTACAATACCTACTTCTACGATACAAGCACAATCCAAACAATGACATTAATTTTATAAAAATAAGGTATTATTTTTAAGCAATTTTATCATGAACATTAGATAATTGAATGATGTTATATGCCAAAGAATATTATATTCTAGTGTTTGTTTGATATTTTATAATATTATAGTACAATGCATATCATATTTAATAAACTCTTATACCACAACCAAATCTCAAACAATGCCATCATTAAAATTCTTTATTAGTAATACTAATCTATATACGAAATATTTACGAAATTGTATCTTCTGTGCTAACCGATATTGTGTTTGTCTTATAACACAATACTTTCTATCACGTATGATGATGAAATAGAAAATAAAAGCAAATTGTTATATAACCATATTATACCATTTTATTTTAACTCTTCTATGACAGTAATAACTATTGTAAATAATAATTTTATATTATACCTTTACATAATATTTACTGTTTATATTGTATAGAATATATATTTTATTAATAATATTTAAAAATCATAACGTAAATAATATAAACATCAT